AAATAACTGGTTTGCCATTTATTTCACAATATTTATATAGTGCTTTATGTGCCAAGCACTGTTCTAAGTACTTTATAAATACCAACTCCTTTCATCTTCATAATGATCCTATGAAGTAGGCCCTACCACCATCTTCATCTCATAGATAAGGAAACTGAGACACAGAGAGGTTAATTAAGTAAATTGTTCAAGGTCACACAGCTAGTAAGTGGTGGAGCTAGGATTCAATCTAAGCAGTTGGGCTAGAGCCCATTCTCTAAACCAGTAGTTCCCAAAGCTTTCAGTGGATCCTTGAGATCCTTCCAGAGATCCAGGAGGGCAAAACTATTTTCATAATAACAAGAACTTGTTATTCGCCTTGTCCCATGTTAACATTTGTATTCGTGTAATAAAAGCAGTGGATGGTAAAACACTGGAGCTTGAGCATTAATCAAGGCAGCTACACCAAACTGTACTAGTAGCCATTAAATTCATCACTACCATACTCTCAACAGTAAAACAAACAAACAAAACCCCCAAAAAACACCACCAAAAAAACCTGTTTCACTTACAATTTTTTTTTTTTTTTTTGGTGTCTGGCTGGTACAGGGATCAAACCCTGAACCTTGGTGTTATCAGTACCATCCTCAAATCAACTGGGCTAAGAGGCCAGCCCACTAATATTCTTGATGAAACAATAAAATTATTAATTATATGAAATTTTGATACTGATTACACTGCACTGCATTCTTCTTTGATCTATTCTAGGGTACTGTACCAGAGTAAAGCTTTCCTCATTCTAGTTTCCTCTTCACATACCACAAATTGAAGTTTACCCTTAATCAGAATCTGGGCACAAAGCTCCTAATCACTCTCCCATTTCAGGAAAAAAGCCTACTGAGGAAGAAGATACCTATACAAATTCAGAAGAAAAGAACTGTAAGCTACTCATAATGATCATTATAATCCTTCAATATGAATTAAAATATGAATAAAGAGCAAATAATAAGTCTGCAAGGACAGAGAGCCTATAACATAGAAGAGAAAAACCAAATGAAACACAGAGAACAGTTATTTAGTTTTTTCAGAGCTGTATTCCTAACACTCCAGATTAGGGTTGGCAAACATCTCAGCTCCACCCAGTAGTGAAAAAGAAGCCACAGACAATATGAAATATGAATATTGGCTGTGTTCCAATAAAACTTATTAACAGCAAGAAACAACTAAAATGTATTTGGTCAGTGGGCCACAGTTTGCCAATTCCCACTCTAGATCAACGTCAGGCACATAGGAGGTACTCAAATATACACTGGATAAATAAATGAATGATTTTAAAACTATTTCAGTAAGAAATATTATCAGGAAAGATACAGCAAAATTCGATGACTATAAAACAGTTTTACTTTCTTTTGTCATATCTTATTTGTCTGCTTATCACTCCACTAAGGTACTATAAAAGTCAGAAGTTTATGACACATGGTTCTGTTCTCAAGGATCAATGTAGGTACCAGCACAGAAATATTAATGTCTGATTTTCATGTATCTGCACAGACATCACACCTGGCCCCAAAATTACAACTCTATCAGCCACAAAAACACAAAAGGCTAAGAAGCACCAAAACGATAAAGTTTTAAAATATATCACTCTAACTTCATAGAGTTATTAAAAAAAAAAGGATGCCCAAAATGACTGCAAGATATTCCACAAAATGATTTCTTTTTTAGTTAAAATCTCTCTGGGGAGATGAATAACAACTGTATCATGAAAAGAGGCAAAACTAAATCATTGTAAAACTACTGTTATATTCATAGGGACAACATGATGTGCAGTAAAGAATAGTGAATGGCCAGCTGCCAAAAAAAAAAAAAGTTGAAAAGAGCAGAAGACCAACAATCAAAGTTGGTACTGATTTGCCACTTCCTGCTTAGGTAAGTGATCAGTCTCAAGTTCCTCATATGAAGACAGGTGTGATAACTGTCCTTTCTAATTCACAGGATTTTGAGGAGGATCAAATGGGACAGTGATTATGAAAACACTTTACAACACACAAACAGTAATATAAAGCTCAGTTCAGAATTGGGTAGTTTATTTAAGTCAAGTATCTGTAGTTCATCTTGACAGGGAGAGTTGCAAACTGCTAGGTATTTAAAGTAGCTGCAATCATACATTCAAGATTCCTCATTTACCCAGAGCTCACAGAGGGCAGGTACATACATAAAAGGCCTCCTTGCCACATTGACAATATCTCTGAATATGCCTCACTTCCACCAGAGACCATACTACTTTCTTGATTAAAAGTGTGAGAATGTTTTTTACCATCCTCTTCTCAAAAGTTTATAAAATCATGCATAAGTTATTCTGGATAACTGCAAATAAATCATCCTAGAATGGGAAGAAGGGCTTAACAAACGCTGTTTACTAAATACTACCATTTTTAATATACCTCACATTGTTCTGAAAATAATTCAAGCTGGCTTTAAAAGTGCATGCTGTGTGACAACACCAAAAGTAAGCAAAAATGGTCAGTCCAAGGGAAAACTGCAGAAAAAATAAGAAATCAGAAATATTAATAATAAACAAAACACATGCCTGTAAGGGCATAGAAACCATTCATTTGGCAGATGCCCCATAGAAACCATTCATTTAACTCTCTTCTTCCAAACAGCTAATGCAGAGAAAGACACGACTAGTTACAAAGTACAATATTCTAAAGAAAAACAAAATAAATTACTCAGGAGAAGTACAATTAAATCTTGACCCAGATAATGTAAGAGCATTTCATTAAGTAGAACACAATATGATTTGGTCAATAATCTGTAAAGTAAAATATAAATTTCTGGGGTTGTACCATTCAATGTAAATCAATAGTATCATAGCTAACTTGAAGTTAAGAGCCGGTCTACAAGGAGCCAGAGTTAAAAATAAAATCTTAAAGCATCTAAGGATATACATGGACTTATCATTTAGGTGATAACTTCATAAAGTTCACAACACTTCACAATGCCTGACTCTACAGCCTGTGTACTTAACCATGTTACATGGCCTTACGTAGCCCAGGATTTCCATCTTAATCATATTGCATAATACAACAGTAAAAGAAGCTAATATACATTTATAAACCTAGGTAAAATTCTGTCATAGAAGTGGGTACGAGATCAATAGAGGCCTACACTATTGTGGTCAGGTAAAGAGCAGTTCAGGACAGAAAGGATAGAACAGAGTTTTATGTATGGTTCTATCCCAGTAAAGTTAGTTAGCTTGTTAGCATTTTCTTCTAACTCCTTGAAAGAAAAGTAATATAGAACACAGAGAATCATTTCAGAGAGATAAAAGGAGAAAAGGAAATTTGGGACCAATTTATTATCGTACAATCCCCCCCCCCCCAAATCCTCTACAGTTTTTATAAAAACTTCTCTCTTTCCTATTTTGTGTCCTTTCTGTCTAATCTCATCTTAAAAATCAAAATTTCATTAGTATGTTCCAAAGGGTTCTTTCACCTTGGATTTTCTTTATTTTTGACACTAATTAAAAAAGAAAAAGGAAGGAAGAATGTTGACATTCTGTAAACAAAATAGCGGCACCAAATTAAACTTGGCTTTACAAGTCAAATACCAAATGACTGTAACTGCAGAGTTAAATCTCATATTACAAACCTTAAAACTTCGTTAAAGTGAGGCCTGTTGTCGTTAAAAAAAAGAGATTATAATTTCTCCTCTAGAGCTGCTGAAAAATTAGGAATACATAGCCTCTGCAGACTCACTCAATGCTGTATATCTACTGACCAACCCAGAAAAGAAAAGGATAGAGCAAACTGAAACCTTTGAGGTTTTCACTACTTTTGAACGCAGCTACATGTATCTCCTTCATTTCTGCCATGTACTCTTTTACTATTTTCATAAGAATATCCATATTCAATGTGTATTCTTCACATGGTTTCAAATGTCTTTTCATTCACTGTTTCTAAAGACAGTCGATACTGAATTTTCTTCCGTCAACACATTTGTGATATGAAAAAGTAAATTCATCTAAGTGCAAACATGCCATGCAAATACATTCCTTCTACTCCATGCCTCACTAAATAGTTAACAAGATTTTATACATCTTTATCTACATGCTCATCATTTTGCTTGATATGTTTTATATTTTAATCGCCCCATCTGTACAAATCATGCATTCTTCTAAATGGGGGTGGAGGGAAGACATCCAATTAAGAGTCTCACTCTTAAATCCATGAAGAAAAAAAGGGGGAAAGTAGAAAAAACAGACACTCCCCTAAATAAATTCTTAAGGTAATAATCTTTAGTAAGAGAAAAAGAGAATTTACATTCTCAAAACACTAAAAAATAAAGTTGACAAATTTAAAAGACTACATTTAGGGAACAAGAGTTCTTTATTTTGAAGTACATGCTCTCTGTGATTAAATAAAGCTATTTTTAAAAATCAAACTTTTAAAATTATTAATTATAATCTAAACTATTAAAGTATTTTCAGGAGCAATTTTCTATATAAATATCAAACATCATATTCCCAAAATACATATTTTATGGTTGTTTAGTCAAAATATTAATTTAAAAGGCTAGAATCAACTGCAAAATAAAAAGCAGTATAAAGAACTATAATCTTTTGCTTTGCAATAAAATTAGGAATGCAGATTCCAATGTTTAGAATTCTGAAAAAAGATGCAGTCACTATCTTAATTTAAAAGGCTAGAATCAACTGCAAAATAAAAAGCAGTATAAAGAACTATAATCTTTTACTTTGCAATAAAATTAGGAATGCAGATTCCAATGTTTAGAATTCTGAAAAAAGATGCAGTCACTATCGACGTTAGTTGTGCTACTGCACAAAAATATTTTATAAATAAAAACCTGCCACCCGTTCCACCCTCAGTATCCTACCCACCAGAAAAAAAAGCAGACCCTAAAAAATGTCTCATCATGCTGACTCAAGCGCATCCTCAAGCACTTTAGATTAAAAAATAATTAAGTTACTATGCCCAATTACTGAAGTCTCTACTCACACAGTTGAGGTTGATGAGCAAACAGCTGTCCTGTATCTTGAGACAGACATTAGCTTCCTGCCTTCCCTATTCTCATAAGCAGCTACTTAAAGTTTGAGTTTTATGCAAGAAAACATTTTAAAGCCTTCAGTGTTTTACTGCAGCAGACTTCAGATTCATTCCTGTAACACATTTAACATGAAACAGAGTTGAGACAGTTAAAATTTATTATGTACCACATTTTAATCATTTAAAATTTTAAGGAGTGCTTTTACTATTACAGCTATGTAAAAAGGGTTGTTGAGGTAAAATTAAGAAATAAAAATATTCTATTTGGTATCTGACACTAGTGTATAATAGAATAATATGTAACTTTAACCTATTGATTTTTCTACATCTGGCTACAGGCTGGGTGAGCAGGATTACTTTTTACAACCATTTGTACCCAAAGTAAGCAAAAGTAAGTATTTTTCTATTTTTCAAAAGTTTAGCTAATTTATTTAGAATAAACAGCCATCAACTAAAGAACACCTTTACAAATAGATAGTGGAATGCCTTCAGTGTCACAAGTATAACACTGTTATGGCTTTTGACTGGGGAGAATGAGATTCCTACCTAGTCCTGTAGTAATAGCAGGAGACATGTTTCTGAAGGTTTGTAGCACATTTCTCCACAGATTCAAATTTCTATAGAACCGCTATTACTACAGACTAATCGTTAATCAGGTGTTAGAAGGCTTGTCTGGAAAATAAAGCTGAATTCCCATAAAAATATTTTATCCTATGCAAACAGAACTTTAAACACAAATAACAAGGGAAACCCAAAAGGTTTGTAAATTAGGAAGTAACTACAAAAACAAGATAAAAATCCTTATTTCTCCATCCCATTAACAAATATAGGCAGTCATAATGATAGTCTGCACTGCAGACATAAACAGTAAAAAGACTTTCATTTAAAAGATTTAACTTTTTAAAAGTTATACTCCTAGATAAAAACGAAATACCATTTAAAAATTTGACACATAACTCTCAACAGCCCATATCCTTGTCCAATCTAGTTTTTAAATAAAAATCTAACATTATCATGTATAAACTTTAATGTATAATAGCATCTGAAAGCTTCATACAGGAGATTTTAGACTGAGATGTTTCAATGGTTTTCCTTTCCTTCTGCATTTTTTCCTACAATTACAAGTAAACTTCAGCCAAAATATGCACAACTTCAATCAAAATGTCCTAGAATACCTGATAACTACTCTTCTCCTATATGTACATTAACCGATATGTATATGTATATTAATTTTAAAAAGTATTATTTAACACTGAAATATTGCACATTTGCTATGCTATAAAAGGCAACTAAATGTTTTAGTGTTTATTGACAATAACCCAAATGTTTCTTTATCATTTACTTATATTTAACATATATATATAAAAGCTTTAAGAAATAATTAAAAATCTCACAAGAGTTGTAACTGATTAGAATCTTTCAAACAGTTAAAATATCTGTCCAAGAGTCTAACTTTGCGCATCATTAGAACTTGTCAAAACTTTCTGATTTTCACCACAAACTTAAATGAACCTGCAGTACAACATAACAACTAAAAAATAAATTTTATCAATATTGGGCTGTAAAACAGAAGCATGCTTCCTGTATAATAAAAATTAACATTTAATAAGTGCTTACAAGGTAAATAGACACCATCCTGAGAGTTTTACATGCATATGTAATCCTTATTCCACCCTAAAAGGCAGATGGTATTACTTATTACCAATTCTTTACAGATTATGGAGATGTTAGGAACTTGATTAAGATCACAGAGCTAATAAGTGGCAGAGCTAGGACTTGAAGCCAGATCTATCTGCCTCCAAAGCCTAGTGCCCTTGAATACAAAGCTGGATTTCAAGCAAACAGTGAGCCACTGTACTGAAAGATCAAACCACATCTGGAGTTAGTATCCAGAACTGAGCACCATGTTAAGTGTGATCCTGATAGATAAGCGTTATCAGGAAATCAACAGGATGGTTACAAATTCAGGAAAGCCATCGCCTATAAGAAACCACTAAGAAATGGGAGCAAGCAACCTAGAGAAAAGACAAAAAGAAACACATCTTCAAGGACTGTTAAAGAAAAAAAAAAAAAAGCACGCTCATCTCATGTGGCACAAGAGTACAGAATGTGAAACAATGTATGGAAGTCTCAATAGACAAACTCCAGTTCAACACAAAACACTTTCCCATTTTAAGGAATCCAACAGCTGGAATAGATTCCCTCCTATAGTACTGAGCTAGTGCAACTTCTGAACCTGATTAAATATGTGAATTATTACCACGATAGTAATAGTTGATTCAGACAAAATTACCACAGAATGTTAAAATTCCCTACGAATAAATGTTTTATGGGGACTGGCATATATTGAATCTCGAAGAATCTCCCCATAAATTACTTGTGACAAAGGAAAAATAATAACTTTTAAATGGAGGAACCCAACAGATATCACATTAACTCAAAGATCAAAATTATCGGGCCGGCCCGGTGGCGCACTGCTACAGTGCGCCACTTGGGAGCGCGGCGGCGCTCCCGCCGAGGGTTCGGATCCCACATACAGACCGGTTCCCGCTCACTGGCTGAGCGAGGTGCGGGCGCAGCGCCGAGGGTTGTGATCCCGTTGCCGGTCCCGGTCCGGTACGGGCGTGACACTGAGGGTTGCGATGCATTGCCGGACACGAAAAAAGACAAAAAAAAAAAAAGATCAAAATTATCACAGATAACAGGACACCAGTGGACATGTGCCTCCTGATGTGATACACTGAGAAACACACAACACATGTTAATATTCCTGCCAAAACTACATTTCCTAGGCCGGCCCGGTGGCGCACTGCTACAGTGCGCAGCTTGGGAGCGCGGTGGCGCTCCCGCCGAGGGTTCGGATCCCACATACAGACCGGCGCTCACTGGCTGAGCGAGGTGCGGGCGCAACACCGAGGGTTGTGATCCCGTTGCCGGTCCCGGTCCGGTCCCGGCGTGACACTGAGGGTTGCGATCCGTTGCCGGTCACGAAAAGTTCTAAGTATTCTGAATAACTAACAAGAGAACCAGATTTCCTATTTTATCTCCACACACACAAACTCCAATCCAACCGCAATCTAAACTGATTTATGAGTATATATTCAGTGAGTTATAAAAAACAGTGCTCTGGTTTAAAACATCAAATATGAATACCAAATGACATATGCCATTCCACTGATGACAAGGTGTGACTTGTGAGTCAGATGTCTACGTCCTCCTAACCTTGTTATTCTATTGCAATCTTCCCAAAACTACGGTGCAGTTCAAGAAAAGAGGCAAATGTCTCTAATACAGCACTGCTATTCTTCGGTGGGAATGTAGTAGCAAGTGTGACTCCTTGCTAAAAACTCTAAATTAAAGGCCAACCCCGTGGCTCACTCAGGAGAGTGTGGCGCTGGGGGCGCAGCAGCGCTCCTGCCGTGGGTTCGGATCCTACATAGGGATGGCCGGTGCGCTCACTGGCTGAGCGCGGTGCGGGCAACACCAAGCCAAGGGTTCCGATCCCCTTCGATCCCCTTACCGGTCACCAAAAAGAAAAAAAAAGAAAAAAAAAATCTCTAAATTAAGTTAAATTCTAATTATGTCAGATAGCAAAGAAGAACCAAATCAAGACCTAATGAGTGATCAATAACACATACAGAAAATATTAAAACAAAACCTCCACTCTAAACAACAAAATACCAATAAAAATCTGATGAAGCACACATTCAACACAGAACACCTAGAGAAGAAAGACAACAGAATGTTAATCACTGAGAGATTAACACACAAATGGTGACTGCATCTTATGCCATTACACGCCCCCCCACTCCTTTTTTTAAACTCACAGAGAGGCCCAAAACAGCAGTCTCTCTAATAGGAAACTCTCACAAACAATTCACACTGGGAAGGACTGGAGTGATAGAACATATCACCTAGCTCATGGAGAGGTTATGAAGGAGTCAGGATGGGAAAATATGACCTGGGAAGAATGGGATACATTTTAGCTTACTATACTAACCTGGACATATCCTACATTAGGTATCAGCAACCTATTGCACAATACTGTTACTTCAGCTAATTCCAGGCAGTGAGCCCTGTTGATGAGCAGTGGCCTTCTTTCAGGCAGGCTCTACATCAGGTTAATCTTTGTGACCCCATGGCACCTAACACTGCCTTGTTTAAAGAAGGCATTTTAATAGATTATTACAGAATGCCCAACTGCAAAATATGCAAATATGCAAAGTCTTTTTATTCCAATTCTAATCTCTGCCTTCTCTCTCATTTTTTTCAGGAAGTTGTCAAGTTCTCTACCCCTGCCAAATCTACTAGCCCTCCAACTTTTTCTAAGTATTCTGAGTCTTTTTATTCCAATTCTAATCTCTGCCTTCTCTCTCATTTTTTTCAGGAAGTTGTCAAGCTCTCTACCCCTGCCAAATCTACTAGCCCTCCAACTTTTTCTAAGTATTCTAAATACCTAACAAGAGAACCAGATTTCCTATTTTATCTCCACACATATGGGAAAGTGTTTTGTGTTGAACTGGAGTTTGTCTATTGAGACTTCCATACATTGTTTCACATTCTGTACTCTTGTGCCACATGAGATGAGCCTGCTTTTCTTTTTCTTTAACAGTCCTTGAAGATGTGTTTCTTTTTGTCTTTTCTCTAGGTTGCTTGCTCCCATTTCTTAGTGGTTTCTTATGGGAGATGGCTTTCCTGAATTTGTAACCATCCTGTTGATTTCCTGATAACGCTTATTGGAGGCAATCTCAATTTAAACTCGTTTCCTAAACGCTTCAGGTAAATGACATTATAATAAGAGGATCTGCATAACCCACAATGTGAATGAAACTTGACTAACTCAAACCTAAAATATAAGCCATTTTAAAACTAAAATCCCTAACTTAAGAAACATAGGATATGTATATGAATAAATGTATTTGTATACGTATGCATATATAACATATTTGAGAGCAGAGTGAGTTTTCAGTTTTCTTTTCTAAATTAACTCTTACACACCTACACTCTAAGGAGATTACAACATATGAGTCAGCAAACAGAGCTCATTTCACAGGCTTTCAATAAGTCATTAGTCAAATCAACATGGTTATGCAGCTGAATTTCTAGCAAATTC